AGGTCCATTTACCATTTACATTAGCTGACTTTAAGATGTGAACATATGTGGCTTTTATCTTTTAACAATCTTCATGTTTAGGGACATAGATGAGCAAAGCACATAGCATATCAAATCACGTGTTCCATTTGAACAGGGAGGTTGGAATTTCTGAGGTCCCAGTTGGAAATTTTAACTAGGATGCCCGCTGAAGTCGGATTTCCAGCTTCCCGAATGCGGTCAACTCAGGTGTCATGTCATTCACAGGTAAATGGAACGAAGCATAAATATAGGAAAATTGACTAATGTTCCAAAAGGGGTGGGACTGGGAAGGTTCAATTGCCCTAGATTCCAATTAGTGGGTTCACTGGCCTCAACCCATTGCTAACAGGTGCATAAAATCAAGCCTACTGCCATGTGGAGGTTGCACTGACAAATGTTTGCAGTGTATTGGTCATACTGAAAAGCTCAGTATTTCAACATGGCCTGAATACATCCTGCCAACTGAATTTCCTGGTTAACATCCAGTTACTGTACATTTACTGTACTACCAGCTTTGTGTTAACAGTTTCTGTTTGTTCAGCCTCAAAAAGAAATGGTTTTCTCAGTTTGGTTTGAAAGAACTTGACTGCACAGAGCCCTGACCATAACCCCATCCAACACCTTTGGGATAAAGTGGAATGCCGAATGGGAGCCAGGCCTTATCACCCAGTGTTGACTGTTCTGGATAATTGGTCTTACCTAAACCTACCCATCAATGTTACATTACTATTTAGATAATATGATCATATCATATACCCATACATTTTTCCAGTAAATGTATAGTTTAGGTGATAATAATCTTTAGTCAGAAACACCCCTTACAAACTTGTTTTTATAGTTATTGCGTGTAAGCTATTGACTTTCATAGGAGTCAGACTCTTCATCAAAAAAATAATAAACTGTTGTTCTGTGAGGGCACTGACATGCTGATATGTGTGTTATTTCCTGGTAATAATTTGAGTATCATCTCAAGGATAACCAAATTTATAAACCGCACTGATGCAAATCAGTTGATGAAACAACAGATAAGTGGTTTGAAAGAGCAGGTGTGACGGCCCAGGCACAGTACTTGTGGCAGGATGTGACTAAGACCTGCTGTTGGCATCGTATAGCACTTATAGCAGCGCTTGCTATGATATATAGGTACATGATTAAATATCTTTAAATTGGATGGATAAATGTTGCTATTACCATCAGCCAGTCAGAGCTGTGTATCAATTAGACACTATGGGAGTTCATTTTGAAATAGAGCTTTTTTGGGGCACTTGACTTCATTGACAGAACAGTAGACAGAGAAGGGAAAAGCGGGGGGTAGTAGATTTCCCAGCATGCATTGTTTAAAAGATAAAACTCTCCTGAGACACTTATCTTTATAACTTGAAGACAACATGTATGGAACCCGCTGCGTGGCATTTTGAGATAAGTCGTGGTTTTTGTTTTGACAGTGTTCAACAGTTGTTAGCGTTGAGTCCCCTTAAACTTAAAATCTAATCAATTCAATGGGAGCAGTTTCACATATTGTCTTAGTAGCTGTAAAATGAGCAGTTGTAAGTTCTTTGTGTGAAATGAAGAACTCTTTAAACTGAGAAAATGTTAAAGGTGTAACAGTTCCAACAGGTTCAAGTTAATATCTTCAGTTTATTAAATGTTTTTTCAAGTTCAGCTTACTTAATTTACTTAATTATTTAACCTTAGTTAAACAGACCTGTTCAGTTCATATCTGTTTATTTCAGTTAATTTCCCTCTTATTTAAATATTAAAACAATACAAAGACTTACAGTGTGTGAGAGTGTAATTTGTTTGTTGGCCCCCTGCACTGTGCATTTGGAGCCCAAAGCTGTAACTTATATTAGTCCTGCATTGAGCTGACACAGTGGATTTACCAAATACAGTGATGGAACCTGTGTGTGTTTCCATATCAGTGTCAGCAAAAGTACAGAGTGAGGTGAGAGCACACAGATCCACTGAGCATATTCTAACACTTCAGAGTCAGAGCTCTCTGCAAAACCTGGTTATAGTCTGCATCAATGCAATCATGGTTGTCTGCATCTTAACAATATTATTAATATTTTTACACGGGTGACAACATGGCAGGTGCGAGGAATATTAGGCTTCCAATGCGCATCCAATAGTAAATGTATCGGACAAATATTGAATATTTATTATATATTATATACTATATTATATAATATAGGAGGAGCAGGAGGCTACGGTCCATCAGGACCAAAACCTCTCGCCACAAAAACAGTTTCTTCCCATCTGCAGCTGGCCTCATTAACAAGGCCCGGAACCCCCTTTGTCACTGACTCTTATGCATTACATTAATGCGATTTTTGTGTGATTTGTATATTTGTATAGTTTAGTCAGGGTATTAAGCCTCCCTGGGGTGTAAAAAGCCAAGAAACAACAGAAAAACACTCACCTTCGACCAGAATGGTGTTTACAGCCAAGTATCAGTTTCCCCCTCTTTTTTTCCTGCAGATTCTTTGGCTCTGTCTGTATTCTGACACTTTCCTCTTTTTTTCCTCTCCCCTCCGTGTCCTACTTATTTTCCCTTTCTCTCTTTTAAAAGTTCAACAGTGACCTGGTCGACGAGACATTCCAGAATGCAAAAGTCCTCCTCTGTTCCTCTAGGGCCAGCTTCAGTCTTTTCAGAAGGACTTTCAAACATTCACCCCCTTACTCTTCCTTCACAGCTCTACTGACTTTCTCTCTCACACTTCTCTCAGTCAGTCCTTTGTGCAGTCTCACTTTGCTCTTCAACACATAGTTAGAGAGAGAGAGGGAGAGGGGGAGAGAGAGAGAGAGAGAGAGAGTTGCAGAAGGGAAGTTGGGTCAATATCCGAGGTAAGCAGCATACCAGCAACAACTGTAAAGACTTCGTATTCAAAACAGAATATAAAAAGTACATGAAATACAAGTTTAAAGGGGTAACCACTGAGTGATGGTAGCCTCTATGGAATGCTATTTAACCCAATATTAAATTATTATGTACTACATATCCATAAATACATGAATAAATATGGCTATGAAATAAATCCTGAAATGAAGTAATAGTAATACAACAAGTTTAAAGTAGTAGCCACTGGCTGGTGGTAGATTGTGTGGAATGCCATTGAAGCCAATATTAAATAAATAAGGCATGGTAGATTCTTGCAAATGCCATTAGGAGAACTACAATGAGCCAGAGGAACCTGACACATTGAAAATTTCAGCAAAACTTTAAAATCTTAAGATAGTCAATAAAAAAACGTTCATCTTTGAACCTAGTTGCTACGTCTTTTAATCGGTGACCATAGTTTTTTGATCGTCTTTTGAATCAAAAAATGTTTCCTGGGTATGTTCATTTGACAACATACGTGCAGATGTTGGATTTTACAGACTGGGAATTTTTGCAAAGTAGTGTATTTTTACTTTTGATATCTTTAGTTAAGCACCAAAACTGGAGGAAAATAACATTGTGTTAACAGCCTCTGCAAATATTTGCTCATTGGGATGATCAAATCTGAAAATGAGTTCCTTTTTGTTTATGAATGGTTGGGAGCATCTTCAAACATTGAACTTCACTAAATAGTTATCTAGCTGTACAGTAGAACATCAGACTGTTAAACTAAGGCACAGTATCTGACTTCCAGAGTCTTAAAATCACTTTCTTTGCAATTACCATTCCATACATAATAGTTAATTGCACAGAAACACTGGTTTAGTAGGGAAAGAGAAAACCCAAACAGTGTGATTTTTTGAATCAGGTTCAAACACACATACAGAACTATATAAATATGTCACACGAAAATACAGTTTTGGCACGTACAGAAAAGGTGAGTCAAAGAGCCTTCTGCAGATTTATATCAATCACAGAGAGAAAAATGGAGAAAATATTCTGTGCAGTTTGTTTTTAAATGAAGCCTGTGTGTTATGAATTGGCGCTATACAAATAAAATTGAATTGAATTGAATTGAATTGTTTACGCAACATCCTACACGGCACACTGCAAAAAGGATGTGTTTTTGCATTGCAACATACAGTACACACTACTTCCTGCATTGGTACTGAATGTTAGATGTAAATCATGAGGTACGTAGTTGTCCAGTGTGGACATGATTCTTTGATAGTAGGTTGTTGTTCAAATGAGCTGGCTCAGAGCAGATGTACAACACTGCTGACGGACATTAGTTTAAAGTCTAACCAGCTTAGGGGCCAGACTCTATGGAACTGAGTATAACAGGAGGACTGATCTCCAATAACCTAAGATGGTGCCACGAACGGTCGCCTTGGTGAGTTGGTGCGCAATGTTTTTTCTTGTTAGGGACCGAGCCAGCGACCGCTGGAAGGCCCCATTGTATCTCTAAGAATTATTATTATTTGCTCCGTCTTCGACTGCATATTTGGCGGCCACAACATGCTTGAAAGGGCAGGGAAATTTGCAGAAAATTCTAACGTAGCGAAAATACTCGTAGGCAATTGTACCCGTGCGCGAGCACCACCCAATGGCTAAGCCCCGCCCCCCAGAAAGAATCGAGCCCAAGACTGTAAGACAACATGTATTGAATTGGTACGCATGTGGTATCATGATGGGACAAGCAGAGGATAGATATTAAGATATGAAAGGGCTGACCATGAGAGCTTTGTAGGTGAGGAGGAGGGAGGATTTTAAATTCTAATTCAATTTTTACAGGGAGCCAGTGAGAGAAGCTAGTAAGGAGAGTGTGATCTCTTTTCCTAGTTCCTGGTGCAGTACTCGTGCTGCAGAGTTCTGAATTAATTGGAGCATCTAATGACTTATTGGGCAACCTGATAATAAGGAATAATCCGCTAGAAGTACAATATGCATGGATCGTTTTTCTGCATCAGTCTGGTGACCAGGATGTGTCTAATTTTTGAATATACGTAAATGAAGAAGGCAGTCTAGGGTTTTGCTTTATATGGGAATTAACTGACTGTCTGATAAAGCTAAGCTGCCAGATTCCTGACGGTGGTGGTAGAGCAGGTAATGCCATCTACGATTACGGTAATATATCTTTTAGACAGTGAGTCTCTGAGGTTTTGGGCCAAGTAGCAAGAATTTGCGTTTTAACTAAGAGAGTTTAACATAAGAAAAAATTGCAGCTCATCCAGGTTTTATGTCTTCAAGACTGTTGTAATTTAGATAATTGATTAAATTTCATGCGGCTTGAT